GAGATGGATTTGAGACTAGGAAGGCAGAAATCACCTTTCAACACAAGGCAATTCGAAGTGCTTTACAAAAATGAAAGCCATTCAGAAAATGGCATTTAAAAAGCAAAGATAATAAAATAAACATTAAAAGACAAAATACATGAATAAAAGTTACAGTGCAGTCTAAGATATGAATAGTTCAATTAAAAGCAGCGGCAAAAAGAAAAGTCTTCAGCCTGGATTTAAAAGTAGTCAGAGTTGCAGCGGACCTGCAGGTTTCTGGGAGTTTGTTCCAGATATTTGGAGCATAATAACTGAACGCTGCTTCTCCATGTTTAGTTCTGACTCTGGGGACAGAAAGCTGACCAGTCCCTGAAGACCTGAGAGATCTGACTGGATGGTTAATAATTTAGCAGGAGCTCGGAAATGTCATTTGGGCCTAAACCATTCAAAGCTTTATAAACCAGCAGCAGTATTTTGAAATCAATTATTTGACACAGGAAGCCAGTGTAAAGACTTCAGAACTGGAGTCATGTGATCCACTTCCTTAGTGTCAGTGAGGACTCGAGCAGCAGCTTTCTGAATTAACTGCAGCTTTCTAATAGATTTTTTAGTGAGACCTGTAAAGACACATTTACAGTAGTCGAGTCTACTGAAGATGTAGAAACTGATAAATAGTAGAGCCTTCAGTCTCTCAACTAGCAGATGAGTTACCTGGGTAACTACAAACGGCTGTTTTTGGATCAAAGGAGAGCCCACTCAAAATGTTAGATACAGAATGTTAGCCATATCTGTGTGGAGGCTGAGGTCACTGCTGCTGTCGGAGGGGCTCGTCTTCAGTGAGTAGTCCACACATGGGCAGTGGGTGTTGATGTCAAAGGAGCTTTAACCTCTGCCCTCTTGAGACGCTGCAGTGATCAAGGTGGGCCGTTCTCCTCAATCTCCTCATTCAGCTTGTCACACTCCCTGCCCCCTCTCACCCTGATCTAAATTCTACGCATGCCCACCCTGTCCGGGTTTCAGCCTGGCACTCAGTATGCCTGCAGACCAAGGCACACCCTGTTAGACCGAACAAAAGCATCAGTGTCGTGCTGGAGCATGGTGAGTGTGGGATGAGCTGCACAAATCCATTGCACGCTCCCGAGACTTGGATCCACACTTTAATGGATGAAACGTTATGACCACATACTGCCACATCCTGCCTAGCAGAGCCAAATAGACTTGGCACTCATGATTGAATGTTCATTTCACTCTCTATTGAACGGTCTGCAATCTTGAACAAGGGATTGTATTGAGAGCTTCAAAACGATCGCATCATAACTTGTAGGCCACAGAGTTAAAAATAACTTCAAATGCATAAAAGATTAGAAGAGCTAGTTAATAAATTATAAAAAAAAAGAAAATCACATACACAGTATTGTGATGTGGAAGTCCAGTGCATGTATGTTGCTCAATTTGTTTAGATAATTGGTTAATCTGTGGTGCAGACTTTCATAACTGTCCATTGTACATTCCTCTCACAGCATGTATAGACACAGCTTTCTTAATAAGCTTTATAAACAATACAGACACGAGTTGTGCTGATCAAGTGGTACAATTAGAGCCTTTGTGCTTTGGCTTTATGCATTTGTTCGTTTTATGCTGTTTTCCATCCCACCTATCAGCTTGCAGCTCAGACTTCAGTGTCTATCCTCAATAAGCCCTCTGTATGTAGACAGAGAATGGGGACAATACAGCCTTTCTCCCCCCTCCCCTCCTTTATTACACTCACTGGCAAGTGCTGGTCCCCTGACAGAGGCCTTGACGTCACAAGCGGGAGATGAGCCTCCCTGCAGAGCTTAATTCAGCAAGATCACTTTTTGGAATTGAAAGTTAAAGGGGGAGGCGGCAGGTGGCCTGAGGCATCAGGTGTTCCTGCAGAGAGGCAGGGGGAAAGCGGAGAAGAGAAGCAGGTGAATGAGCTCAGTAGCACTAGGCAAATGATAAGGGGAGTGTGGGACTGCTACAGCACTATGTGTATGTTGAGATCAGACCCAAGAAGTACATCTGGAGGAGGGAGATCATATATTAGTGGTCTGACCCGGGATGCAAAGGAAAAGGACAATGCAGTGGGACAAACACTTCCTTTAGTTTCTCTTTGGATCTATGTATGAAGGTAAGACATCTTCCAGTATTTTGTTTGTAATTGGCTTTCTTCAAGATTATCATCTGCTTTGTTATGCTCATAATGGTCTTTGTTAGCAGGAAAACAAGATAGCTTCAGATCATATCAGAGGTGGACAAAGTATTCAAGTAAAAATACAAAAGTAAGCAAACAATGATACACTGATATCAAAAGTAACACTGCCTGATATTTGTCCAATGGCATCTCAGCTTTGAAGGTTATTGCAAGCATATAATTGCAGCAGGAGTTAATGTTACTTAGAATTCACTCTACATTTGCAGGCCACCTAAGCTATAGCCCTTTCCTCAAATGTCTCACAACAGAGTGTCTTCTGATGGCAGAGAGAAAGAGCTCTCACATGCCTCCATAATAGCCCCTTCATGGAGTCCAGACAAAGAGCAGAAATAGCCCTTTTAGCTGGGTTTGGAGAGTAATGTTTCTAAAATGCTCTGATGATAAGAGTGAAACTAAAATGTAACACTATAGTTCATAGGACTAAGGGGCACAGAGTAATGCAAAACGACATGGAAGCTTGAGACCTTAAACCAAAGGTTAACTAAGTTCAGAAATAAAAAAAAAAATGACACACTGGACAATAGTGTGTATGGACACACATAATTCAAAAATGTCAAAAGCATATCATAGTTATAATCTATTATCGATTCATTAACACTTTGGTGTGTCATTAACAAGCGTGATCATGGATGAATATTTTTGATTTTAGCAACTGTTACTTTCCAAAAAAGAAACCTGTCTAAAACACCATAACATATGATGGGCAACATGCACAGCTCTAAACCCAGACATATGCCTAGAAATGGCAAGAAAAAGGAAAAAAATGCACAATGTTTAAATTCTGAAAAAACTATGCTTTAACTGATTTTCCCTTAAAAATGTTAACATTCAAAAAGAAATATTGATAAACTCTAAACTTTGCAATTGAAAACAGTACACCTTCCCAACCTGCTCTGTGTGGGGTCACATTAGGTCAAATAATAATGAAACTTCTTGGTGGTCAGTGTCACTTTGTTACCTGCGCAGCTGAGTCAGCGGATAGCTTGTCTGACTGCAGTCCGCAGGGGGGATTGCAATATCACTTTCCACAGTAATGTATTATTTATTTCATGTGACAGCTGAGCAACAAAGGGTTGGTCATTACAGTCCACACATACAGTATGACATAATGTAGCTCACCATGCAATTTTTGGTACATCCTGTGTTTGAAATGTTTATGAAGTGGACAGTCAAGTGGAATGAGGCTAACTGTCCAACTGTGTCACACACACTGGCTTCCTGTTGGTAAATATTCATGAGCACCTTCATATACAGTATAGTCCACCTGATGACAGCACTGTACTGTATAACAGAATACTTAAATCACCATGAAGCTGAATGGAAACCTATATTACATTTTAGGCTATACCATTGGATTTATAATTAATCTGGCCTCATGTTATTTTGTCTCCTCCTTAAGAAACCAGAGAACACTGATAGTAATCTATATGGTCACTCAACACTATAATTTACTTCCAAGTCACCATCTGAATAAATCATTTAAGCGGTGTCACTGTGTCCTTTCAAGCTTGCCTGAGATTACATAATGCACATAATTGTGGTTTTCTTGTGTCCTTCTCAGAGTAACTGAGGGCCTATAGGTCAATGCTCAATGTGTAGATGATGTTTTAATGTTTTAAAGGTCATCCTGATTCTGCTGGACCATGGCTGTCAGACAAGGGCGGCAGTGGAGGTCCGTGTGCAAAGGCCTGGTGCTGGGGACCCTCCTCACCAGCTGCATGATCCTGCTTTACTGCCTCTCCACTCCCCAGACCCACTTCAGTCTACCTGAGTAAGACTCGTCACACTGGTGTTCATGTATTCTCTAGAAAACATGATGTAAAAAATATTGTTATGTCCAATTTATTCAGCATTTGTATTTTAGAGCTGTGACAATTAGTTATAATGTATGTTTTTTTTAAAGGTTAATTTTAAGTAAGTCTAAGTTCGATAAGTTATTTTATATGTGGGTTTACTCTTACTCTTTAGATTATTTTTATTATTTTGAGTCAGTGTATAGTGTGTCTAGTCCTATGTGTTTGTGAGTATTTAGGGCATTTGAGTCAATCTAGCCAAACATTTAAAAATGTTTTACTCCAACGTCTCAAATGTGTTGGTTTGCCGCTTTTCTTTGTATTGTGTAAGAGTACATTTCCATGTCCTTATCATCACATTTCTCATTTGATTGTTTTCCTGTCTGCAGGGTACCAGTGCCTTACTCCTGTGCCCACCGTCCATCCCAGCTCCGTTCGAAACAAACCACCAACCGCTCACATCAAGCCTCTGGCCAGACCTGCACTCCTAAAGTGGACATCATGTTCATGAAGACCCACAAAACAGCCAGCAGCACGTTCCTCAACATCCTTTTCCGCTTCGGGGAAAAGCACCAGCTCAAATTTGCCTTCCCTGACAGCAGAAATGACTTCTTTTATCCGTCTGTTTTCCAGCGTTCCCAGGTTAAAGACTACAGACCTGGAATGTGCTTTAATATCATCTGTAATCACTTGCGTTTTAACGCACCCGAGGTGGCCAAGCTGTTACCTATGGACACCTCCTACATCACTATCCTGCGAGACCCTGCAGAGCTTTTTGAGTCCTCCTTCCACTACTTTGGCAAGCTGGTACCTTTCACCTGGAAGATACCAGGGGATGAGAAGCTGACAGAGTTTCTGCGTGAGCCCCATCACTACTTTGACCCTGAGGGCTTCAACTCCTTTTACCTCAAGAATCTTCTTTTTTTCGACTTTGGACTGGACAACACTCTGAAGCTGGATGACCCACGTGTAGAACAGGGAATCAGATTCATCAGGGACCGTTTCCAGCTCGTCATGTTAGTGGAGCACTTTGAGGAATCACTCATCCTGCTTAAGGATGCCCTCTGCTGGGAGATGGACGACGTGCTCTTCTTCAAGCTCAACGCCCGTAAGGGATCCACTGTATCTAAACTCACCCCAGAATTGAGGGCCAAGGCTCTTGAGTGGAACGCTATTGACTGGAAACTATACCAGCATCTCAACCAGACTTTTTGGAAGAAAGTAGATGCGTATGGACGGCAGCGGATGGCTGAGGATGTGGCAGAGCTCAGGAGAAGGAACGCAGAGATGGCATCCATCTGCATCGAGGGGGGGCGAGCTGTAGAAGCAGGCAGCATCCAGGAGACAGCCATGCAGCCCTGGCAGCCCATCGGAGAGAAGTCCATCATGGGCTACAACCTTAAGAAGAATGTGGACAAGGCACATCGGAAGTTGTGCCGAAAGATGTTGATGCCAGAGCTTCAGTACTTAACAGAGCTCGGGGTTAACCTGTGGATCACCAAGCTTTGGGGCCATGTCAGAGATATCATCAACTGGTGACGAGACATGTGAGCGAGAGGGGCCATCCTTGTCTCATTTTATTGAAATGTGTTCATTGACTTGAATTTCATTTGATTGTGCACTGTAGTGCACCTGATGGGTGCTCAACTAAAAATGAAACTGTAGACCTACAATGTACAAGTATTGAACCTGTTTGCTACTCGCAGATTAGGCCTGGTATTGTTAGGTATTCTAGTATTTTCTTTCTCTCAGATTGTTCTAGTGAAGTGGATAAGTGAACTATAAAGTTCATATCTTTAAGGAAATAAATATTGCCATCCCTGCTATTATTTAAGGGTGTTTGGTAAAAAGAATGTTACCTCTCTGAGCTAAATATTGTTTTAATGATTTGATGTGCATCCCCGAAAGTTAGCATATTTGAGTTCAAAGAGACTGAAAGCCCACTAAGGGCTAAAACACAGATTTGCAAATAGTGAATGTAAGTACTACAACCCACTTGTGTGTCTGTGGAGGACAAGATCAGACATCATTAAAAAAAATAGTTAAAGAATGATTGACCTTTATACTTGTCATTACAAGGAAAACACAGGTGGAATTAATAATCTTAACGACTCCCCGAGCTGCTCAAATGTAGCCAACGTTATTAATATTTAATACACCTGTGCATCTCGTGCAGCAACATGTCAAAAATATATGTCATGAAAAAAGGTCTGATGAGTAAAGAAATCAATAAATAGGAAAGTATGTAAGCAATCAAGATGATAATTTTTTCTGAAGATTTGTTTACAGTAGCTTATCAGTTTTTAAAGGATCAGATGTATGTTGACTTTTTTTGTTGCTATATAAAACAACATTTTTGCTTCTTCAGGGTTTGTAGCCATTATTCTTTCTTCTGATACCACAATGTTTACACTAATATCAGTCAGCCTTGCCAGGTGTCTTTGCAAGTAGATTGATGAGGTTTTGGAAGGTTGCTGCATAGAGAGACAAACGAAAATTCATTGTCAGCCAAGTTAATGTTTACCCTATCTAGAAAGGCCCTGGCCATGACTCACAGTGTTAAGCTACATGTGTTTACACTGCCTCATTATCACAGCCTGCAGAAGTAAAAGGGATTTCATTTAGGATGACATCAATGTTGTTCCTGTTATGTGCTCTTTTACTAATGTATTTCTTAATGTCTGTCCAACACACACACACACACACACACACACACACACACACACACACACACACACACACACACACACACACACACACACACACACACACTACACTACACAAACACACGACGG